CAACAGGGGTGACCAGACGCTCTGGTCATATTGACCGGACGCTGGACCTCAGCGTCCAGTCATGCGATGCGTGCCACGTGTCTCCTCTCTTCAAATGTCGATTGCCCGATCTCAACGGTCAAGTGATGACCGGACGTAGCAGCTCAAAGTCACCGGACGCTGAACCCCAGCGTTTGGTAGTTTCCAGTAAGCATCCAGAGATGATTTTTCACGACCGAACGCGTCCGGTCATGCTCGATCGGACACACCCAGCGTTCGGTCACACGGTGACTCCCCTATCCGCTGCCACGTCAGCAGGACCGGACACACTCTACCAGCGTCCGGTCACTAAGTGACCCAGCGTCCGGTCAGAGACCGACGCTAGCGTCTTCATGCTCCACCTGACCGGATGCTCTGGTCCTACCGAGACCAGCGTCCGGTCACTTACAGTGACCTTCGTCTTTTCTGTCTAGGGCGCCGGTGGCACCGTCGGACTGTCCGCACTCTACGGGCGGACTCTCGCCGGTGAAGTTACTAACCCTTGCTCAAATGTGCCAACCACCAAGTGTATCACCTTGTGCACATATGTGTTAGCATATTTTCACAAACATTTTCAAGGGTGTTAGCACTCCACCATATCCTAAATGCATATGCAATGAGTTAGAGCATCTAGTGGCACTTTGATAACCGCATTTCGATACGAGTTTCACCCCTCTTAATGGTACGGCTATCGATCCTAAATGTGATCACACTCACTAAGTATCTCGATCACCAAAACAAAATGGCTCCTATCATTTATACCTTTGCCTTGAGCCTTTTGTTTTTCTCTTTCTTCTTTTCAAGTCCAAGCACTTGATCATCACCATGGCATCACCATCATCATGTCATGATCTTCATTTGCTTCACCACTTAGAATGTGCTACCTATTTCATGATCACTTGATAAACCAGGTTAACACCTAGGGTTTCATCAATTCACCAAAACCAAATTAGAGCTTTCTTGCGTCCGGTTGTCGCTTAGCTGTTGATGCGAGTTTGTTTGACCGTTGGAGATTAGCGGCGGAGGTTGAACGAACGGGACGCGTGGCAGCCTCCGGTGGATCGGATGCTGGCTCGGGTGCGTCCGGTCATCACGCTGTTAGCTCCTCCTTGACCCCAACGGATCAATTTCATTAGGGGCTCTATAAATAGTGGTTAGGCGGCTTGGGCTCACTCTTTTGGCCATTTCTATTGAGAATACACCCTAGTGAGCCGAGCTATTACTCTCTCACTTATCTAGCTTGATTGATTCATTATTTGGTGAGATTGGAGAGCATCCAAGTGCATTGCTTTGAGTGATTGTATCTAGAGGCACTTGGTGATTGTGTTTCGTTGTAAGATTCGCTTGTTACTCTTGGTGGTTGCTGCCACCTAGACAGCTTGGTGCAGCGAGGATCGTCGAGAGGAGGAAGGTGCTTGTCTCTGGCTACGATCATGATGATTGTAAGGGGTTCTTAAGCCTTTCTCGTGGGAGATCATAAAAGGCATCTTTAGTGGATTGCTCGTAGCTTGTGGATTCCCATCTTGTATTGGTTGTGCGGCACCCGGTTGCGGGTTAGGCATGTGATGCCTATTAGCACATGAACCTATAAGTGGGTAAATCGCTACAATGAGAACGTAGCTTGCCAGCAAGCAAGTAAGCCTCAGAGGAAAAAACATTGTGTCATCTTGTCTCCGGGATATTTATTGTGATTGATTGATTGTCACTTGCCACGGCGGTATAACTCTCACTACCTCTCCTGCACTTACTTTCATATACTTGTTTAGTCAAGCTCTTTAGTGTAGCTAGTTTTGTTTGCTCGTTAGTTTAGTTAGTAAGGCTCTTTAGTTAGTCTTTGGGAGCTCACTAACTTAAAGAGTAGTGACTTAGCCTTTGTGTGATATAATGATCATAGCAACTAGAATTATGGATAAGTGGCTTGTATTTTTAGTAGGCTAGCGCAACACTCGTTTCGCCACTTAATCTTTTAACCACTTGGCTTGACCGTTGTTGTATAAAATTTTTATAGTCTATTCACCCGCCTCTAGCCATTAAGGACCTTTCACCATGTCAAAGGGGTAAAATCAGACTAAGTTGAAAGTTTAAAGAGGTAAATCAGACAAGAAATATTTTTATAAAATATCTAAATTTCATTTTAAAAAAATTCAAAAATTTATCCTAATATATTTTTAAATGGAAAAATAATGCAATTAAAAATCCTAAAACCTTGTTTAATCTTAGAAAATTTTGTTTTAACTCAGAAAATTATGAACTAGTTTTACATTTTTTTTCCTAAAATCATGCTCTATCTTATGGTGCCTAGCTTGAAATTTTGTTTGAATCTTTATAAAAAAAATTTGGTGCTTATTTACTAATAGAAGTTCTCATTATTTATTATAATTAGTCAATATTGATCGTTTGGCCTACACAGGTGAAGCATTGTCGGGACCGTACCCTGTTGCACATATGCATGCATGCTTTTCATTTAATATGTTTAATTAAGTTTTAGTGTAATGAATTATGAAGCATAATGTGGCAGGAAAATCTAGATGGAAGAGTCGGGACGTTTGTATAGATAGAACTAGAAGAATACCTCCGCGTTGCTGTAGGACTTTCTTAGAAATAAATTGTTACATGTATGAGTTAAACAAAATATTCTTACATCCATTCTTATCAAAATTGGGCAGGGCACGTCATCTATATTTTTATATTGATATTAATTGTGTTTAATAGTGGAGATGACATGAATAGCTTGTACTAAAAAGTTGGAAATTAATAGGATGACGTGGCTATTAATGAGATGAGACATGAATAGTTAGTGGGAGATGATACGAATGATTTACATGTGAAGATATAAATTGCCGTGAAGGTTAACTTTATAAGAGATATAGGACAATCTCGTTTTTAGTTTGGAGCTGCAAAACTTTTTGTTTGCTTCTCACCTCGTGTTATAGACTGGCCGTCCAAACCTATTTAAATTGGATAATATCCTATCAATTTTTCATATTTAATTAATCATTTATTACGGTAGCATTTATTATAGGTGTTGGACTTTATTTAATTTAGGATTGGATCAAGCTCAATTAATCTAAAAAAATTGTCCGCATATTATTATTGATACCGCACAATAAATTATATGTCCCGCTACAACACTTAACATATTTATTACTTTTTTTTGGACAAAGCTCCTCCTCAAGGGTTGCTCTGACACATACGTACGAGGGAGGAAGCCAATCAGCACCTTGTCAGGGCGGCTGCAATTGGTTTACAAGTCGCTACCGCCTCGTTATCAGGGCATTAGAGCAAGACTAATAATATAGTTGGTTTGTTGGCTGGAAGGTTTTTTTTGCAGTTTTTTTTTCAACCTGTCTATATAGTAGTTAGCTCTTCATCATTAATACATAGTCCGTTCATCTCCCTCACAGATTTTTTTTGTTTCTTAACCCCAAACCGGCTGTCCGTTTCTCTTCTCTCTATCGTTTAGCCAGCTTATAGCCTCTTATCATGCTTTTTAAGCTCTCCACGGGCCACGAATGGCACGCGATGAGGACGACTTTTTTGGTTTAGGCGAGCTCATCGGTCGTCGCCCGACGTTTATGAGGCGAGGATGTTTTGTTAGAACTCGTAGCAGTAGAGGAGGTGACACGGCAAAAAGGCTTAAACCAGCCACGTGCACTAGGAGATATGTAGAGGAAACAAAACATGATGGGGCTAGTTGCTAATGGAACACAAGAAAGAAAGGACGCAGATACGGCATGGGCGTGGGGATAACAGACGATGATGACCGGCGGAGGGGACTCGGTAGCGGCCCAGGAGTTGCTGAATCCATCTCTCCACAGCGATCGATCTTGTAGGAACACCAATTATTGTACTTGTACAGGAGGGGACTCTATTAGCATGTTTGGCAGGACTGAAAAATAAATCAAAATATTATTTCGACTAATTATTATGAGAGAAAAATACTGTTCCGGCTGAAAACACGGTTCCTGAGAGCGCTGGCCAGCCCAGCCGAACGCGCGGTATAGCTGCCCAAATTCGAAACGTAACCTGCCTGCCCCAGTGCGTCTTGCAAACAGACGAGCCGCGAGCCAACTACTGAACCGGAGACAGCAGGTCACACTGTGTGGCCGTCGACGGAAGTACAGGTAGCCACCGACTAGTAACCGAGCAACCATCCATTATTATACAGGAAAAAGAAAAGTGTACTGTGCGTGCGGTGCACAGGAAAGCCCAGGTTGGGTTGTAATAGGCTGCTGGGGCCTGCCACCTGCACCACCAAACCAACCGGTTTGCCGGCGCTCTGCCATCGCCCAACCGAACGAACGGAGCCATCCCTGTCGCCGCACCAGCACGACACCTCCTCCCTTGGCTTCCACAGGACGCCTCTCATCGGCAAAAGCGGCGGCGAATGGCCCCGCTATCCAACTCAGCCGCTACTTCGTGACAAGCAAAGCAACGAATGATGAGGGACTCGTGCCATCCCGCCCTGCACCTGCTGCAGGCCGTGTCCTTGTCACGTTAGGTGATCTGTTCTGGTGATCTCTCCCCGCACCTGCTCCCGTCCCGATCGATCCCCCGTGTTTTTTGGTTTCTTTTATCCCGCCGAGGCCGCCCGCGGTGGTTACACCGATCAAGACGGGATGGAAGCTGCTGCTAGCCGGCACACCCACACCCTCTCGATGGATCTGCCTCGTTTGACCTGCCTGCCGCCGAAGCTGCTGCTGATCCCACCCGGCGGGCACGTTGTCCATGAATGAACTGGTCAAGTAGTACACGGGAGAATACAAGGGGAATCATTCAACAGCTAGGTACCCCTGCGTACCAAAACAAGGTCGTTGCCGTGTTGCGTGGCCTAGGTACCGCCTGAGGTTGCCCGCAACGCAAAGGCAAAGCCAGCCAGCCAGCGCCTTCATCCATCCTCCTGCCGTGCTGACAGGAGCTTAGCATCTGCGGCGGGTATGCCATCCCGATCGTCCTGATTGATCGAGCAGCGCGGGGCAGAAATGGAGGGTGCTTCGTCCTCCGCCGCCGGCGGTCCTTCTTCTTCTTCTGCGGCGGCGGTGCAGGGGAGCCGGGGCCGGGCGTCCGGGAGGGTGGGCGCGACCAACATCGGCAGGCTGCGGCCGGGGAAGCAGCAGCATGCCACGAGAGCCGCCGGCGTGGGCATCAGCGTCAGCGTCACGTCCTGGCACCTCAGGGTGTTCGCGGCCGTCGTCGGCCTCATGGGCTGCGTCCTGCTCGCCGCCTCCCTCGCCATGTCCGCGCTCCACCAGGTGCAGTTCAGGAACGCCGCCATCTCCAGGAACTTCAGGGGCCTCCAGGTATCGTCTAGACTTCTACTCTGTCTCTGTTTTACAACAAACAAGTCCTTTAACCCCGAGTCTCTAACTGAGGATACTTTGACTCTGGTAATCAAGGAGCTTAAGCAAAACATTGTAAGGAGGGAGCAAGTGGAGCAGATAATGCATGGAAGGCTTCTGCAAATGGCCACTTCAGCTCTCACAAAGGTCGGTCCGTTTGATGATCACACAACCCACTTTCTGCAACTCAACACCTAATAAATAAATAAAAAACTGTATCTTTACCTTTTATCTACTCAATGCTACAAGTTTCCCTTCCCGGCAGTGCAGAACGGCTCTGAATCTGAAGATTTCGCGCTATGGGAAGAGCCCTACAAGCAAGCGCGCAAGTGGAAGCCCTGTGCTGCTAAGCACAGTTTGGCTGACGAAGGTAACATACTTTGAATAAATTCCTACTACTCCTCAGCAAGATCAGACATAGTAGCTTCCTACAATTGTTCTGATATCTGAATGTTAAATCGATCCGGTGGATCATCCTGGCTTCATAGTTTTCGTATTGCGAGAACTTCTTGTCTTCTGACACTAGACTTGTCCTCACAGGGCCTGACAAGATCAACAACGGTTTCATCCTGGTCAGCGGAAATGGTGGTCTAAACCAGCAGCGTGTCGCTGTAAGGATTGTACTGCTAAAATGCTCACAACCTGAATGCTGCTGCGTCTTGAAATTCGGTAGCTAAATAAATGAGTCTTCATCGTGCAGGTATGTAATGCTGTTGTCGTTGCTGCTCTGCTCAATGCTACACTAGTCCTCCCGCGGTTCCTCTACAGCAGCGTGTGGAAGGACACAAGGTACTGAATGCACTGAACCTTTTTGGCCCTGTTTGCTTTTCTCGTGAGCCGTACTATTTCAGCGAACGAACTGTGTTTTTCACTCACAACAAATCAGTGAACAGTACTTCCAGCTATGACTTTTCAGCAAAACGAACATGACCTTTATCTCCACTTATTCTTGTACACCCATTGTATTGTATTGTATCAATCTCTCTTCTAATTCTTACTCGTAAATGACAAAGAAAATGTTCAGAGTTTTTGCACGTTCTGAAGCAGAGAACTTTTTGTTTCCTGGCTGCCAAAGTCATCATACTTGTACTTGTACGGATGGCATTACAGAAAGAGGAAGCACACTAACTAAAAGTTTTCTTTTGCCCACCTCACAATAACAGTCCTTGGCATGATGAAAATGTAGGCTGTAGAATTATAAGTTGGCCTGCTTCTGATATCTGATATAATAGCTTTTGTTTGCTGTGCTTGACGTGCCATCTCTTTCAACCAGTCAGTTTGGTGACATCTATCAGGAAGACTACTTCGTGAACTACATGAAGAATGATGTGCGAATCGTGAAAGAACTACCAGCACGACTTCAGTCACTGGACCTCGAAGCAATTGGCAGCCAGGTTGGTGCCTCTGCCCTGTTCAACAACTTCAGACACCTCACCTATTTCACGACTCAGCGCAATGTCGGACGCACTTTTGCTCACATTTCACTCTTGCACTTGTCTCAGATCACTGACATGGAAATCTCGAAAGAGGCTGAACCATCTGAGTTCGTCAAATCGATACTCCCAATTCTTCAGCAAAATGGCGTTGTTCATTTCCTCGGGTTCGGAAACCGGCTAGGCTTCGATTCAGTGCCTGTTCATCTGCAGGTAGCAAGCAATTGGCCTATCTAAATTCCATTTCACGTGACCATTTGCACACTCTGTTTCCTGGTCACGACAAACTGGTGGTACACTATTGCAGAGGCTGAGATGCAGATGCAACTTCCACGCTCTCAAGTTCGTCCCCGAGCTCCAGCAAGCAGGCTCCCTGCTGGTCCAGCGGCTGCGCCAGGTGAGCGCGATGCAGACAGAAATGGACAAGCAGCTGTTCGGCAACAACATGCTCGACACGGCCTTCGCGGAGAACCACGCCGCCGGCACGCCCAACAGGTACCTCGCCCTGCATATGAGGTTCGAGGAGGACATGGTGGCCTACTCGCTCTGCGACTTCGGCGGCGGCGAGGAGGAGAGGAGGGAGCTGCAGGCGTACAGGGAGACCCACTTCCCGGCACTCGCGCTGCGCCTCCGGAACACGTACGTGCGCCATTGCTGGACTGAACGGTTCTTCATCTCGCAAAGAACCGATCCATGTCGAGCTGCATTGTCTGAAGTACTGACACCGTCGTTGGTTGCGTGCCGCAGCACGGTTTCGCCGGAGGAGCAGCGCAGCCTGGGGAGGTGCCCGCTGACGCCGGAGGAAGCGGGTCTCGTCCTCTCCGCGCTGGGATACGACCGCCGGACGTTCATCTACGTGGCCGGGTCGCAGATATACGGCGGCGCGCCACGGCTGCGGCCCCTGACGCGGCTGTACCCGAATCTGGTCACCAAGGAGGATATCCTCACCGCCGACGAGCTGGCCCCGTTCAAGAATTTCTCTTCACGGGTAAAGAACTACCTACTCCTACGATCAATTCTGTCCTGGCCACCCAGCATCGATCGTGTCGAATCAGTACAGCAACTGTTTCATGTGCGTGCTGTTGGTGCCGATCGAGAAGCTAACCTGCCATTGCTGACGCGCATTATATTAATTGCAGCTTGCGGCCTTGGACTTCATCGCGTGCGCCTCGGCGGACGTGTTCGCGGTGACGGACTCCGGAAGCCAGCTGTCGTCGCTGGTGTCCGGGTACCGGATCTACCACGGCAGGGGCCGCGCGCCGACGCTGCACCCGAACCGGAAGCGCTACGCGCAGGTGCTTTCCGAGGAAGGGAGCATCGCGTGGGGCGGGTTCCAGAGGAGGGTGAGGCAGATGGTGGACGAGTACAAGCGGGTGAGCCCGCGGCCGAGGGGCCGGAGCGTCTACCGGCAGCCGAGGACGCCCGGGTGCATGTGCAGGGCCGGCGGCGACGGGAGCGTCGACTTCTGATGCCCACGTTTGCATTGGTTTGTTGAGGATATAATATAAAGCGGCTGCTCTATTCCATTAATTCTTTCCTAGAAGTTTTGTGCATAGATTAACTTTGGTGGGTCCTTTTAGCAGCTCAGGATACGTGGCGGGATAGGTGACAAAAATTTTTGAGTCCTGTAATACTAGCATGGTTGTAAACACAGTTTTATGCCTTTACCGAGTACCGACAGGAGTGGTGTACATATACAGAAGTAACATATATATCATGTCCTGCTTATAATTACATCTATGATGAGCTTCTGTGTCCTTTATAGACCCTGTTTGGAGCCACGATCTACGACCGTGTGATGCGGTACGCTATCCACAATTTGGTCGCCGCGATACCGGGAATCGGCGGTTTAGTTTATTTTCCAATTTTTCTCCTCACGGGCGGTCGCGACAGTCACGACCACCACGAGGCATTTGGTGGGATTTTTCCGATTCTCGCGGTAGGTCGTCCAGAAATCCATCAAACAAGGCCATAGATTGTTGTTCGTTCAATATGGATGAGGTAAATTTCGTAGAACAATTAAAGAAATCTATGACAAAAACTTCACATATATACATGTCCTGAGCATCTTAGGCCCAGACTAACCATGGCTTGAAGCCCAACCCACAAGCCAAAATGTGGCAGGCTTAGCAGACTTCTTATATATGGACTACATAAAAATAAGCAAGCCTCAAGCCCAGGCTCAAACTTCTGCTTTTATTTATTTAACTATGTTGCAATAGGACATACAACTTGTTTTATGGTTAGCTAGACCCGTCCACCAAAGATAATGAGTTACCTATCTTTGTTGGATTGAATGGACCTTGACCAAACCTTATTTTTAGTTAAATCAAATAAATTCCAAGGCTCATAATATGCTAGGTGCAATAGAAGATTAGTCCCACATGTAAAACTATTCAGAGATTAACTCAGCTTAAATAGGTGGCTATTGCATGTACATATTGTGAGTTAAGAAAGATGGAGAGTGAGCCAAACATGTGCATTTTTGGAGTCCCTACACAAACAGGCTCGGGCTCCCTGGTGTAGCTTTTTACCGCGTCCCTAGTGGCGGTAAGGCAGAATAATAAAAGCAAGTGACAATGTAATGTATTCAGAGACAATCACATTTTTTTTATAACGTGGACTTTCCTTCAACGAAATTGTGGTTCGTCTCAATATAGACATTTGGGACATGTCTGTGTAATCGAGGCACCCTCTAATTTTCATTCTTTTCGCGAACAAATACTGGTTTCACTAGCTAGTCAGGACGGTATACTTCTGTTGACAGCTAAAAGTGGTCAATGTGTGTAACGAACATCATCACGACATTCCTGGTATCAAGAAGGTCAAGGAAATATATTGTGACGTCGCAGCTGGTAGTCGGAAGATAAAAAAAAAAGGTTTCCGGCCTGCTCCGCCAAAACTGGCCTAGTCGAATTCCCAAACCCGCTCGGTTTTCTTATAGCTGGCCTGACAAGGTGGCCTCGTCTCGCACCACACCACAACCTTAAAACAACGACTGTTTCGGAGTTGCTGAAAGGGGTGTACAACGATGGACAATCAATTGCCAAAGGTTATAGTGACGGACCCCTGCAGTTGCTAATGAAGACGTCACAAGCCCAATATATATATATATATATATATATATATATATATATATATAGCGACGGATGGTTGGATTCAAATATCAGGCTTTTGCGACCGATCCTCCAACGATAAAGAAAAATAAAAATAGCTACCGACGTTCGGTTGGAGAAACGAGAAATAGCGACCCACCATCTGTTACAATTTTTAGCGACCGACCATCCATTGATATTTTTGTACTTTTAGCGGCCCCACCTCCGACGCTATTTTTGTGTTGTGGTGTAGTGTCGATAAAACCGGCTAGGCTGGTTTTTCTATTGTTCCGAGACCGGCTAGAGTCCAACTCAGTTCCGGCTCGTGTTTTGACATGGAAAATTTGCAAAACGTATTTGATATATGTTTCCTACTAGAATAAGACCACCGCCTCTATATACATTTAAGGATCATGATTGATTGAGGAATCTAACTTCTAGTAGTCAAAAAACACATCTTCTACTCCTTTTACTCTAACTCTCTCTATATCCTTTGTTGTTCGTCATGTTTCTCGATGAGATTTGGCGGCGTTCTAGGTGGCCTTACTGACCCTAGAGCAACCTCGTTGTGCCCCTCCCCGATGGGTCTTTTTTCGGGAGGTGTTCAGGATTCTACTAGCCAAAGAACGGGTGTCGAATTAGCCTGACCAGCTTGCTGGTCAATATTGCTGATGTACCGCGTGCTTGCTGCGATTCAGGTTGTGTGTGGCTTTAGGCGTGCTAGTCCTGGATGGTGTGTGATCTGATTCGGCCCCCAACTTCTTTGACAAAACCATGCACTAGAAGCTTGGCTATTTCCTATCAATGATCCTATGCTTTATGCTCAGCGAAGTGGCGCAAGCATTGCTTAACTAGTCTGCCATCCTGTCAGACCTTCAACAAGTGCTCGACAACCTCCCTTAGGTCCCTTGCGCATCGAAGAGCTTCTATACAAAGATGTTCTTGTTCTCTCCTAGAAAGGGACGAACTCAAGTTATTATTATTTCTCACGGGTTACATATGCCACAATTCCATAAGCTTATGTTTGGTTCAATGCAATAAGTTTTTCGCCTCACGGGCTCGTGGCCAACATGTCAAACACATTTTCTTGCCAAAGTTTTTTGCGACTAAAAGTGATTCCCATATACTACTATATATTAGTAGTAATAATGTCATTTGGTCTATAAAATATTTTCTTTCATCCGTCATGCAATTAACTTGGTGTAAGGAAAATGAACCCTATAGGCCATTAAGGTTGATTTTGGTGTTTGATGAACAATATAACCATTTAAACTAATGATGTTTGCTAGTGTATAATGTATAGTTCAAGTGGATGTAAGGTGGACTTAGACTTAGGCAAAGTGGTGATCTGGATGATCAACACCTCAAAGCAAGGCATTAGAAGATAAGTTAAAGACTCACAAAGACATGCTAAAAGTTTAAGACACAAGGTAGAAGAAGGCCCGATGAAGACACGTGAAGAAATGCTGCTAATTGCACGAATTGGTCTGGTGCCGACCTGAGAGACACACCGGACTATGCATGAGGACTGTTCCTAGGCAGACTGCAACAGAGGCACCGGATTGCTCCGGTGCAAAGAGCAAAGTGGCACCAGACCACAAGGTGTTGGCTGGAGGATAAAGACAGTGCTAGAAGACTCACCAAATCGTTCAGTGGCAACAGTGGAATGAGCACTAGATCATTCTACCAGAGAGGGTTGAGCCAAGATTAGAGGGCGATATAGCGCACCAGATTGATCTGGGGTCACACCGAATGCAACACTAGATCATTGGACCTTCAATGGTCGGATTCTATCGATCGGCTTGTCAGAGCCCACTAGATCGCTTCGGTGCTACCACCAGACCATTACAATGAGTACGTATTAGAGAGCTGCAACTTTTGGTAACAACTAGTTTTGGACTTGGAACCTATATATAGCCCCTTGGCCAGCCATTTAAGGGTGTGTAGAGCTCAATGAAGTGGTATGAGTTGAGGCTCATCTCTAGTTGCTCTAGCCACCAAATTGCTTAGTGTTCACTCAGTGATTAGCGTAGATGTTTTGCGAAGTGCTTAGGTTAGTTAGATCACCACTTTAGCGCTTGATCTAGGTTTAAGCCTACTATTTAGTGAGGTTTGCATACCTTTTACCACTCGAAGCTGTGCGCAAATTGTTGCACTAGAGGGGCTTGTAGTCTTACGAAGTCACACCAACTGCGTTTGTGGTGTGGCCACCACCGTTATACTAGAGGAACAATGCCCACGGCGTTTCGGTCGGAGGTTGATAGTGAACATAGTGGAGAGTGCTCCGGGAGAGGCCATACCGGAGATCCACTTACGCGTGGGAAAAGCGCAGGTGCTATCCATAGAGTTATCCAATCAGGAGCTTGGCCATTGCGAGGGCATCCTTGCCAGGGGCTCAAACAAGGACTAAGGAAAGCGAGGAGCTTCTCGATATCTCGGAAAATATATCGGAGTCGTCGACAGGAGTCTGTATTATCTCTACTACCCTTAAGCTTTCGCATTTATATTATATACTTAGGTTGTGTGCTTACCTTCCTAGCTCAGTTTCATAGATTGCATAACTCTTTTACGATAGAGATAGCAACATACATAATAAAATCTTAATTGCACATCTAGATAGATTGTTTTATTGCATAGATTTTGATTAGATGTAAATTAGAAAGTATAATTTTAAAAGTAGATTTTAAGTTATTGTTGACAGTCACTAGCACCTATTTTGACCATCAACATTTCACCCAAAAGCATGGTAAAGTGAGGTAAATCATCATCACATGTAAAGAATTATGTTTATAATTGACCTAGTTCCACTTATGCTTGTAAAATTATTTGTATGCAGGAAATATAGCAAAGTTTGACCAAAATAGTGACAAATATAGACATATGGAGCAAGTGGACGTGGCAGGAGGCCTTGGACCCACCGCTCGGCCCCACATGGGCGCCGCCCGGCCACCCAAGTCGCCATGCCACGTCAGTGATCCGTGGGAGCTCCTCCTCAGCCAATGAGAAGCCTTCATTCAAGTCGGTTTGATCAACGGACGAGATTTGATGCCGGTGGATTCATGGGCTCATTGTCATAGACTTGGAAGCTCTCCACCAGACTTACCAACCGACTTCCCGTCCGAATTTCGACATGTGTTGTCCAAGTAACCGCCATTGGGAGCCAACCATCGCCGTTGGATCAAGAGGCGGTGGAACCAAGGGCCGGCTGGCGCCCCTAGGGCCGCCCGGCACCCTAGGTCCTCCACCGACCTTGCCACTGCCTAAAAATACCCCTCCCTCACTATACACTATAAATAGTGGGTGTGGAGATCGGTAGAGAAGTGCCCCATTCATATTACAAGCTCTCCAAGCTTCTCTTAACTTTCTAGCTTAGC